AGATCATCTTTTGTTTTAAATTCAGAATAACAAGTCTGCATTTTAAATCATGAGATCAGCTAGTTGGGTACGGTGGTGCACTTGCATCATCCCAGCTACTCTGGTACCAGAGTCTGAGGGCAGGAAGATTGTTTGAGCCCTTGAGTTAGAGTCCTGCCAGGGCAACACAGGGAGACCCTGTATCTCAAAAAAGGGTGGAGGAATAAATAATGAGGTTCCATATTCAGTGAAGTAATTACCTGATAACATAGGCAATAAAGGCAGACTATGACATCATCTAACATTTCAAAAGAAAACTAAAATGTTCCAAAGTTTAATTAGTTTGAGAACATGAGACTGTGCAGGGCATTGCTTAAGACACATAAATTTTGAAATCAGGCAGGAGTCATTTTAATCCCAGACCTATTACTTGGTAAGAATGTGACCCTATAAAAGTTACTTCTCTAAACTTGTTTCCTCATCTACATATCAAAAACAAAAACAAGCAAACCAAACACTAGTAGCAACTCCAAAGTAAATCTGTAAGACTCAAGTGTAAAATGCTTGATACACAGAAAGCTGACAACTGATATTACTTTCAATTTATCTTACCCCTCTCTATTTGTTTTGTTTTGTTTTTTGGTTGTTGTTGTTCTATGGTACTTCTCATCATCTAACATACTGTATATTTATTTACTCATCATTATTGTAAGAGTCTGCCTCCTCTCACTAGAATATAAGCTCCACACAGACAAGTACTATTGCCTGCTTTGGTCAATGGCATATCCTGTACAGTGTCTCGTACTAGAATGCTTGAAAAATACTTATTGAATGAATGAGTGGATAAATACTAAAAGGATTACTATATACTATTAATAATAACACATATATTACTTCAATCAGTGATAGATCTTTTCATGTTAAATCTTACTATATAGACTCTTCTACCTGAGAGGTCAAATAACATGTTTTTGTGACACTAGGTATCAACCTTGTAAATTCTTTAAGAAAGAACAGTATTAATTTACTTAACTGTAAAATAAGGTAGTTTCTAAGGTTCCATCTACAAAAAAAAACTTTCCACAATCCAAGAAGAAACAAAGGCACATTTATTCAAAAAAAACAACAAACAAAACCCCAACTATATATCAATTTACTGTAAAACAGGAAGTCCTCCCAGAAACTTAAAACTTTAAATCAGTAAAATCCACAGCTACAGATAATTAGGTTTAAAATACATGTCTGCAGAAAGCAACTAGGACCAGGCAGAGGAGGGAAACAGACACACACCAATTCTGTCAGCATTAAATAGACTGCAACAGCAAAATGCATTTATTCTGAGCACCTACTCATCAGTAACAGAGAGAGATATATTTACCCTGAATTAGTCATTAAAATGTAGCTAATGACAATTTTATTAAAAACACATCAAAAAATGAAATAAATAGTCAGCACACTTATTGGGATCTATGTATCATTGTTGCTTTTGTTGTAAGGAGTAGAATCTGTCAACTGTGCAGCTGATCTAGTACCAGTCTGTCCTTTCTGACAATGTCAGTGACTCTTGACCCCTTATCACTGCTATATGGTCAGCTTGTGTCCTTGCTGTATTGAAAAAGAGGCAAGACACCCAAGTATGACCCTCAGAAGAACACAGGGACTTTCTTAAAGGCACACACGCATGTTTGTTAATGAAACTCCTCCTGCACTTAGCGGGAGGGTTTTTTAAAAAGCAACATGTAGAGGATGAATCGCTTCATCTTCCATAACAATGCCATATTTTACCAAGATAAAAGATACATCAAGGGACATTAACTAAGTCACATAAAAAGTCTACCTTAAAAAGTTAGATTATAATTCATCTAAAATTTTTTCTGTGTATGTCAGAGTTTAGTGAGATTTACTTTATTAATCTAATTATGACCTATTAATGTCATAATGAAAAGAACATGTTACTTCAATACATTGATTATATATATCTACATAGCATTCAAGTTATAATACTAGAAATAAAAGTATACATATAAAAGCAAACACACAGGAATAGAGTAATAGTCTTGTGACTCAAATTATAATATAGAGACAACCTTAATGCTACTGTTTTCACTTTGAAGAAAATTCTATCATTTTCGTTAAAACAGATTTTAAATATACAGAATATATGAAATCTGAAGGCATTTCGTTGAAAAAGATACATTTCCCACACACACTGTATAATATTTTAAAATGTGCAATAGGTTTTAATATTTTCCACATAAAAACAGTATTAATCCATCAAAATGGCTAAGATGACTATGATATGTAATTTAAAACATATGGTTAAAGGAAAATATCTGATGACCCTTAAGACAGAATGCTAAGTAAAACCGAGTATGTGTGTTGACCAAGGCATACCGGCATTATATTGTAGAGCTGATCAATAGATATTAGCTTTAAAAAGAGAGATACAGAAAGAAGCTGGAATGTATTTTTTAAAGGACAGGGCGAAGGTTTAAATTGTTTCAATCAAGACCCAATTTTTTTCCTCCTAGTTTTTCCAGCTGTTTTCTTCCAGTTAAGATTCTTCATTTCAAATAAATTTAATTAGTTCCAATTGATCACAGCCAACACTTACACAGCTTTATCCATGCGTCTTTACTGCCATCAGGCAAACGCTAACAAAGACTGCTAGGCTCAGATTCAAGTGTCTTAAGATGGCATTCAGACCTCATTCAAACACACCCAAAAGAAAAATGTCAAAAATGATTATTCTGCCTTTAGTGAAAGCACTGAATTATACCTTATATTGTGCTATCTAGCCCAGATTGTTTTCAGGAAGTAAGTCCCAGTTGTATTTACAATAATTCATACAACTATACACATTAGCCTAACTACAGCTTCCAAGTAAGAATTCTCTCAAAATACTATTATAAATATCTGTCATGACATAATTTCTGCTCATTGCATGAGGAGCTATTAGAACAATTCCTTTAAAATAAGTGGAAAAGTCATCTGAATGGCTAAACTGGCCAGCTTTCCTCTTTTGAAATACTCTTACTCTACAAGGCTAGTTACCCCAAAATAAGATTATTGTGCTTGAAACAGATTTTTCTCAATGCATCTACCATATTTTTCATGATGTAATTTATATAGGAGTCTAGTCAATAAAAAGAAATATGGTTTTCTTCTAAACCCTCACAAAAATCTATACCACAGCTTAATCAAGTCACACAATCTAAGGGTAGCTCGAAAGATCTACAGACTGCAGCATGCTAGTTGCTTTGACAACATGTTAAGGAAGCTGTGTTTTAGTTATTTAAATTATGTGGATGTTGAACATTCTCACCTCTCATACTCACATCATGACATGAATAAATCAACTGAAAACATCGTCACATATGTTTAACCAAACCTCTTACAGATAAAATTAGTGTATGTAGAACTGACTCTCCAAACTAGATTTGCATTTTTTAAGCTTCTTGATTTTTCTAACAATAAAATGAAAAACCATACTATAATGCTATCTCATGACTCTGGTAATACATAATTCAAAATTTCAATGTACTGATTTAATAATACTTGCTTGACTGCTTAAAAATTCAACTTTTATTACAGAATTCAAATTGAGTTACTCTACTATTGCAGAGGCAAATTCTCTTCTGCTAGGAATTAAACAACTTCTTTTTATAGACTAGAAGGTCTTTAAACTTCATAGGGAATTAAAAAATAACAACAAAATGTATCTGTAACAACATTTAAAAAAAGCAATGAAAACTGAATAAAACAAGAACTTGTCTAAAAATCTGCAAATAAAACAGATTTCCTTTAGTAGCTACTGAAACAAACTCCATAATTGTAAAGTGCTAAATGACTTTCAAAAAGGTTGGACATTTCTGAAATTGTTTATATTTAAGTTGGATTATATTTTTATCAATGAACGAACACATTCAAAAGAATTAAGAAGTAACAAGTAGTAACCACCATCATCATCTCACTTTTACTGTAAACCAGATGCTCCCCAACTTTGGCAACACTTAGCAGTGGCACCAGGCCAATGGTTTTTAAATATGTGAATTTCCCAGGGAAATAAATAGGCTCTCTCGACTTTGTCTCAGTAAACAGAAATATAAAGGCATCCAGGTGGTAACAGTAAATAACCTGCCACACAGAGCTTTAAAAGAAAGATGGGGGAAAAAATACCTGCTCAATTTTTTTCTTCCCTGTAATTTTTGCTGAGGTTTTTACTGATATTTTCTGGGCTTGCTGCTACTAACATTATTGAGTATTATCACAATAATTATAAAATGTTATGGTCAGGTTTAAAATTTTAACCATCCACACCCAAAACAAAAGCTTACCATGCTTAATATCAATAAAAATATTTATGCTAGGTCGTTTCATCCTCTGTGCATTCAAAGAAATTGAGTTATAGATAGATATTTAAAGATCCACCACTTAAAATGGGCTTAAGAATATAAAAAAGATAGGCTAAATATTTATAGTGTGTGTTTACTTTATGCCTGGTATGTGAACCATAATACAGGTAAGAATGTTCAATACCTAAACTAAGCAAATGACTTTAAAAAGTAACATTCGCTCCATAGTATAGGTATAAAAGACACATGTAAGTTTCCTTACACAGCCTATATTGTATACATTGCTGTCGTAACTTTACTATTCTTTAGTTTACCCTATAATTGCAAAATCTTTCATAACCGGATGAGTATATTCCTCTCCATGTCCCAAAGCTTTAGTAATGGTTGCAGTCTCTGAATTTAAAAATCTCAAGAAAACATGTGCACAGCCAACAGGTTCATTGTTACAGCCACAATGAGCAAACCCAGACCAAATAAAGAGCTCCACTTCTTTTCACCTCAAGATCAAAAAGGACACTAAAGTGTTTCATGAAACTAAACACACCATCAGTACAAGTTTCCATCCTTTTCATCAAAATGCACGATCCCACTACAAATAACCCCCAAAACATTTTGCAGTATAGAACAAAGCTCCATCCAGAGTGTGCTAACGATGATCTCGCTTACCAGTGGTGATGTCATCATCAACAAGGTCATGCTCTTCCTCCTGGACTTTGGTTTCAGGCCCTGAAGCATCCGGAGCAGTAGTGATAGTCTGCATGGCTTCTGCTGTGACTCCAGCTAAAGCAAACAGGAATCAAAAGATTCCATTTAAAAACTGGGAAGTAAAGCGGACCAAAACTTTCACAGTGTATTAATTTACTTACTGGATGCAAATATAATACGTTTCAAAAAACACAGTATGTTATTAACCCAAATTAGGAAGAAACACAAAGCAGTAACTATAACATTCACGTGTGCTCTATTTTTATGTGTGTATATACATGGGTACATAGTATATTTACTTTTAAGCAAGATATGGAAAAAAACAGAAACAGGATGCCAAAGTAAATTACATATTTTACTTTATTCTTTTCAACGTTTTTGCTACAGTTATTTTAGCCGATTTAGATAACTATTGCAGCAATACTCACTATAGCAAAAAAACATGGAACCAACCGTGCTGCCCGTTGCAAGAGGACTGGATTAAAAAAATGTGGTACATGTACACAATGGAATACTACTCAGCCGTAAAGAAGGACAAACATATGGACTTCGCAGCAACTTGGATGGATTTAGAGTCTATCGTACTCAGTGATCTATCACAGAAACAAAGAACTGAGTACCATATGTTCTCACTCATAAGTGGCCCCTGAAAGTTATCATAATACTGCTGGAGTGGAAAACTGCCGGGAGGAGGTGGGCACGCTTCATCATTAAGGGCACCAGGTCTCAAACCCGGTGAAGTGGGGACCAAAGTGATGCCCAAACTTTACCTGCACAATGACCATTTGTATGCCTCACCCTGAATTGCAACCTATATCTTTACAATAAGAATTTTTTTAAAAGGAAAAACATAGAAAGTGAGGGATTATTTTAAAAGTTGACTTCTCTTTAGTATTAATTTGTCTATAACTTGGGGGTTGGGAGGAAGAATGACAAGAGAAGGATTTGTGAACTGGGCTAAGTCAGAGACTGAAATGCAACTCTCAAACAGAGTACAACATCTCCCTCTCTGAAGGAATCTGATGTGAGGTCAGACAGCTGTCACACCGAAAGACCCTCACTGAACGTAGACAGGCAAAGTAAATCAGAGGCTTGAAGCTTCCGCTCTGCAAATCACCTGAGAACTTGCCAGTTCACAAAAATGTCTTCTGCTTACACACCTATCTTTCTGTCTGTGATAATATATTTTGTTGTCAATCGCATCAACCACATTCCCTGTAATTTTAAGATGGAGAGTTGGGTGCTGTCAATATTATTCATATGGTTATTAAAAGGTATTGCTCAACATGGTATATGCAAATGCCATCATTAGATGCTACTTCAGAAGTTAAACCTTCTAATAAAACCTTATTAATAAGTATGCCAGTAACTGCCTGTATAGGATCTATTCAAAGATTTTAGAAACCAAAACACTAAAAACTATAAACATTCAAGGACTTCTTTTCTTCCAAGGTGTATTAACTTAAGCATTTCTATGTGAGATTCAGCCCTGCTGCCTCAGTTTTACATAAAAAGAGGAAGACTCTTAATCATTAGCCACTATGAACGATCCACAAATGTACCTACCAGCAGGTAGTTCCAAGTCTAATAAATTTGGGGGCTAAGACATACAATTTTAGTACCATCAACTTGTTCAGAGTTGCTCTTAAAACAAAAAATGCTAAAGAATGATCCTTGATGAAAAGAAAATTGCAAAGCCATCCCTTTTAGAAGTATATTTCTTGTTGGATTTTCTAGATAAATTTTAACACAAAGGAGATTTACTACAAAAATAGTATTACGTTAATTAACTAATTAAAGATAGCTATCAGTAAAATAATCACAAAAGGAGGAACGATGGAAAGCACCATATTTCTAAACAGACACTGCTTAAATGCAAAGTCAGCAATCATTATTTCATATCATTAAATCAAAATTGAAATCTTTGAAATCTCTCAGTCTCATTTCTTGCTTAAAACTTGACAATTTTGGAAATGATCAGAGAAACTGGAAAAAATATTAAGAAACAGTAAGAATCTTAACAATAATTATCAAAAATTTCCTTTCCTGTAAAATTAAGGGATCAGTGAAAATAAAGCTGGAATTTATGTAGTGGCAAGTTTAAGAGTCCATTTACATTTATCTCATTCAGTCAGAGAGGCAAAGTAATAGTTCAACGTAACATAGCTACTAAGTTCAGGAACCAGGAATGAGATACAGGTCTTCTGATCTCAAACTCCAATATCAATTTATCACCAAGTCCTTCTAGGGACTGAGTTCCTAAGGAGAGGGTGGGAGGTATCAGAGAACACCAAAGAAAAACTATGAACAATAACAGAATCACACGATACTGATTCTAAATACTGCCAAGTCTTCCATGTAGTTTCTGTGCTGTGCCAAGTAGCTACTCAACTGAAGACATTCAGTATTTTGGGATAGAGCTTAAGGAGCGAACATGTGCATCTCAAAGTCACAGAGCTTAACAGGCCAAAAGCTGCGCTGAAACCAGTTCTTTGATCCGATACTTTCCAAAACAAGTAAGGATGATAAAATCCTTGGCAGAAAAAGTAAAATACAAAAAAAGAAAGGAAAACAACAATATATCTCATAAAAATACTCTAGAACTCTTTTTTTTTGAGATGGAATCTCACTCTGTCACCCAGGCTGGAGTGCAGTGGCATGCTCCTGGCCACCACAGCCTCGACCTGCTGGGCTCTGGTGATCCTTCCACCTCAGCCTTCCAAGTAGCTGGAACTACAGGCATGCACTACCACACCAACCTAATTTTTTTTATTTATTGTAGAGACAAGGTCTTGCCAAGTTGCCCAGGTGGGTCTCGAACCCACGGATGCAGGCAATTCACTCGCCTTGGCCTCCCAAAGTGCTGGGATTACAGGCTGAGCCACCGAGCACACCCTAGAATTCTCAATGAAAACATAAGCAAATAGAATTCAGCAACATATTTTTAAAATTATAGTAGGTTTATTCCAGAGATGAAAGTTCAGTTTTCCAATATCAGTCAATGTAATCCAAAATATTAAGCTAAAGAAGAAAAAAATTACATGATCATATTGATTATTTGACAGAATTCAACATTCATTTCATGACTTTTTAAAAAATCTAAGAAAACAAGGAACAGAGGGGAGTTTCCTCAGCATCAACTACCATTATACTTAATGGTGAAAGTCTGAATGCTTTCACCATAGGATCGGGAACAAGGCAAAGATGTTCACATTCACCACTCTTACTTAACATAGCACTGAAAATTCTACCAACACAACAAAGGAAGAAAAAGAAATAAAACACATACAGTTTAGAAAAGATGACGCAATTGTCCCCAGGTGATGGCTCACTTTAGATATCAACTTGATTGGATTAAGGGATAGCTGCATGCCTGGCAAAGCATTATTGACAGGTCTGTCTGTGAGGTCGTTTCCTAAAGAGACTGGCTTGTGAGTCAGTGGGGCCTAAGTGGGAAAGACCTGCCTTCAATGCAGGTTGGGCACCTTGGGACCCAGGTAGAACAAAAAGGCAGAGGAAAGGCAAATTCATTCTCATTCTCTCCAGGAACTGGGATATCCTTCTTCTCCTGCCGCTGGACATCATAACTTGGTTCTCCAGCCTTTGAACTCCAAGACTTGCACCCAGAGATCTCCCTGGTTCTTGGGCTTTCCAGTCTTGAGCTGAAAGTTACATTATCAGCTTCCCTCATTCTGAGAATTTCAGACTCATATTGAGCCCTGCCACTAGCATCCCTCCAACTTGCAGATGGCCTACATTATGGGACTTTTCAGCCTCCATAATTGCATGAGCCAATTCCCCTAACAAATGCCTCTCATTCACCTATCTAGCTGGCTAGCCATTCTATTGGTTGTGTCTCTATAGAGAACCCTAATATACCTTATTGAAGGATAAAATGATCATTTACAGGGAAATTCAGAGGAATCACCAAAAACCTCCCAAAACTAATAAATGAATTCAGCATGGCTACAGAATTAACAGAAAAAAAATTAAATCAATTCTATTTCTGTATGTTAGTAATGAACAAATGAACACTTAAATTTAAAAATAATTAAGTTATTTAAAAAGCTGAAATGCTTATATATAAACCTAAAATCACATACACACAGGACTTGTATGCTGACAACTACAAAACAGTGATGAAAGAAGTCAAAAAAGCTCTAAACAAATGAAATGGAGAGATGTACTGCATCCAAGGATTGGAAGGTTCAACATAGGAAAGATACTGATTTTCCACACATTGATTAACATATGGGTTTAATACAATTTCTACCAAATTCCCAGCAAGATTTTTTGCAGATATAGACAAAATTATTCAAAAATTATATGGAAAGGCAAAGAAATTAGGATATAACAATTTCGAAAAAGAATAAAATAGACAAAAATCAGTCCATCCCACTTCAAGACATATTATGTAACCAAAAATTATTGAAACTACATGACTGTCAGAGAGATAAACATGCAGGCTAATGTAACAGAACAGAGAGCCCCAAAACAGACACACACACCAATATGCCCAGCTGACTTTAGAAAGAGGTTCAAAAACAATTCAATGGAAGAAAGACCATCTCTTTAAAACAAAACTGGAACAACTGAACAGTCATAGGCAAAAAAAATTAGTCTTGACCTAAGGCTCACACCTTAGATAAGCACTGACTCACAATGGATCATAGACTTAAATGCAAAACATAAAACTATAAAACTCTTTGAAAAAAACAAAAAAATCTTTTAGATCTAAATCTAGACTTAACACCAAAAGCACAATCCATAAAAAGGAAAATTGACAAAGTGGACTTCATTAAAATTTTAAAATGTCTGCTCTACAAAGACCCTGTTAAAAAGGATGAAGAAACAAGTTCCAGACTGAGAAAAAAGATTCACAGATCACACACGTGACAGGCAATTAGTACCTAGACTATACAAGGAACTCTCAAAACTCAACAGTAAACAATTTGGAAATTCCTCCAAAGGTTAAACGTAGAACTGTCCTATGACCCAGCAATTTCACTACAGGGAATGAAAACATAAGTCCACACAAAACTTGTACACGAATGTTCACCAGCAGCGTT